AGGAGGGGGGCAAAAGCTCTTTAGCCTGGAGGGTGGTGAGGGCTCGAATCTCCACGGGGAGCTCATTCCAGAGGGTCGGAGCAGCCACAGAGAAGGTTCTCCTCCGGGTAGTCGCCAGTCGGCATTGGCCGGCGGATGGAATTCGGAGGCCTAATCTGTGGGATCTGATCGGTCTATTGGAGGTAATTGGCAGCAGGCGGTCTCTCAAGTACAAGGAGAGTGATCCAAATATCTGGAGGCTGCTCCAGATAGGAGGGACCATCAGATGAATGCAGGGAAGTGGATGTTCAAATTTAGATATGAATGCAGGGGCTCACAGTATAAATTGCGTGTAAGACAGAAATGTCTTGGTTTCATCTGGGCAACTGTGGGTATACATGAAGGCTGGTATTTGTAGTTGGCTTACAACCGTCGTTTCGCCACTTGCCTTCTAGTGCAAAATGCAAACATGCCCTATTAGAAGCAAATAGGAATATTTGGTGTGGGTAAGCAGGACGTATAGACCTGCCCTGTTACCTAAACTGCCATTATTATTTTATTTTTATTTTATTTTGGTTATAAGTAGCTGGTAAGGACAGGGAATTGGAATCAAAACGAAGGAGCAGAAGAAATATTTTCAAATACATAAAGGCCCTCACTGGCATAAAGTTATCAACCCCCCCTGGATCTTTGCCGATTTAAAACCCCACTTTTGAGAAACTGTCCCCAAATACCTGCAGCAAATTCCTCGATTGTCATCAAGGGGAAGCGAATGAGGGAAAGAGCTTTGCCCAAAGCTTTCCGCTTGTTTTCTGGTATCAGCTGCCACTGTTGCCGCTGGCATTCAGCCTCTGACCACCTGACCACTGCGTTGAAGAGGCGCACCTCCCGGATGCCAAGGCTGTCTCGCTCCAACACTGCGACCAAGGTGTCTATCAGACAAAGAGAGTGTCACTACCAGCAAGATTCATCACTCACAGCTATTTTGGGCTATCGAACTCAGCCAGTATTGAAAATCTCTTAACTTCAAATACTTCATAGCCCGAACTACCAGCTCAGGAACTGCTCTACACCTCCACTTTATAGAGAATCCTGGAGAATCGGTCCTTTATACAGGCACCTGCCAGGCCTCATTTGAGTTTAGCACACCTTTTAGAAAAACACACCTATAGGAGAGCAAAGAGTAAGTACATCACATTGGCCAGCGGAGGCCTGGAGGAATACCACAAGCAGAACCCAAGGCAATTTGAACTTAACAGAATAGCAGAGTTGGAAGGGACCTTGGAGGACTTCTATACCATTTCAGACAAATGGTTGTCCAACATCTTCTAAAAACTTCCAGTGTTGGAGCATTCACAACTTCTGGAGGCAAGTTGTCCCACTGGTTAACTGTTCTCGCTGTCAGGAAATTTCTCCTTAGTTTTTGGTTGGTTCGCTCCATGATTACTTCCCATCCTTTGCTTCTTGTTCTGCCTTTGTTTGCTTTGGAGAATAGGTTGACCCCTCTTCTTTGTGGCAGCCCCTTAAATATTGGAACACTGCTATCATGTCTCCCCTAGTGGAAGTCACCCCCAATGGATGGAAATTCAACAGCGAGAGGTAGAAGGTCTCCCAGAGAAACTGAACCCTTACAACTCTTTGCAAATCAACCTTTCAGACGATAAACTGGCAAGAGGGGGGAGGAAGCAATCCACATCAATTACAGAGACAGTGATGGCAAGTTGCTGCAACTATTATCTTCCTTCCAGAAGCTGCTTGCTCCCTACATATACTGCCCTGCTGTTCTATAGAGCTTGGGGGAATTTAACCTCAGAAATCTAGCTTTTTTTGCTGGTAACTTTCCACACATAGCAAAACTAGCAAGACAATGCATTTTGTAACATCATCTGCTGCTGGTATACTGCTAGGACCAAATGCCCTCTTTGTCCATCGCTTGACGCAAAAGCATGGGGAGGGATGTTGAGACTGACTTGGTCAATGTACAAAGGCTGCTCAAGAGACAGGCATCTAGCTTGCTCTGCTTCAGGAAAAGGACTCATATGATTATGTGCCCCTCTATACAGACCTTTTTTTTAATAAAAAAAATCCCTGTACAAAGAAACTTGTGTTTCACGAGTCAGGCTAAATCAGAACTTCATACAAGGGATAATATTTGCCTCTACTTAACAGATTGATATTTGAATCTCTACTTAGACTCTCTTAGGTTTCATCTAAGGCAGTGGTTCTCAACCTTCCTAATGCTGCAACCCTTTAATACAGTTCATGTTGTGGTAACCCCCAACCATACAATTATTTTATGTTTTCTGCATTTTTTGGAAAATATGTTTTCCGATGGTCTTAGGCGACCCTTGTAAAAGGGTCGTTCGACCCCCAAAGGGGTCCCGACCCACAGGTTGAGAACCACTGATCTAAGGCAAGGGGGTCAAACTCAAGGCCTATGAGCCAAATCACATGCAGCCCTCTGCTTCTGGAGGCCGTCCAGGCCAAAAACGCCCCCCTCCCCCAGCACCCTGTTTTTGCCAGCAAAGTACTGCAGTCCAGGCCGTCTACCCCCTATCCCCCCATCCCGGCTGGCACGGAGAGGAGAACTACAATGTCAGCAGCCTCAAAAACATCCAGTTTGACACCCCTGATTTAAGGGAAGGTTCTGCTGAACCTTTAAAAAGACTTTCCACAGCAAAAAAAACCTCGTTTGTTTTCTGAGATTGAAGCAGAAGGCTGCACCTAAATTGTAAACATTCATGCTCATTCAATGCAGTAACTTTAAGGACTGGAACTTGAATGACCTTGTTTTTTTTCCCCCTTCAACTTTTCATCTGTCGGTAAACAATTCCGAGAGCTATCAAACCGAAGAGCAGAATAAACTTCCTTTAAAGAAATAAACTGCACTAGAAATACAACTGACACCTGCAACTTGTAGAAATAAGACAAAACTAAACAGGCTAACAATTTTTGCATAATCTATTCTAATTTTACTTGACAGTGGCAGGGACAAAAGCCTAAATAGAAGTTTTAACAGGCCCAGTTTAAAACTGCTTATCTTACAGCTGCGTATACCCTGAGAAGCACCCAGAAGGACACCTCTATCGATTCTGCCACCTCAAGAGAACAGGAGAAGCACTCAAGCAAAAGAAAACTAGCACAAACTATTAGAACAATTCTGAGAGAAGCTTACCCAGGTCAATATCAGTGAAGCCTTCTGCATTGATGGCATCTGAGGTGTTTTTATCTATGTTTTCCAGGCAAAGGCTGGCCAACTGGGGTTCATCGAAGAGTCTTGCCTAAGAAACAGCCATCAATCAGTAAGAATAAATGGAAGGAGCACAGGGAGGAGTGTACTAACCTCAGGACTTTTTTTTAACCCCATTCCATTCCCTACTTTGTAGGAGGGTGAAGATTCATACGCATAAATGTTCTGTGTGCACAAAAGGATAGGATAAAAACATCATACAAATATAAATTTCTACAAAATTCATATGAAGTGATAACCATATGCATTTGGTATTGGGTTAAATTAGATCTGATGGCATCCAAGCCCTGTGAGCTACTGTTTCCTTAAGGACTTCACCCTTTTGCCTGTGGTTTGCAAATGTATTTGTGGTGGTTTGCAAATATTATTTCAGCCAACTATACACCTTAGGTTTGCAAATGTTACGGAGGGCATGTGCAACAAATCAAAGGAAAATAAAATCACAAAAATGGACACATAAATCCATATCTATCACCCATCTCCTCCCACTTATGACTGTAGGACTGTAACTTTGCTTGTATCCTTACGATTTATATTGATAGTTTCCTAGTATGATTTCATTGCTTATTTTGTACCATATGACTATCATTAAATGTTGTACCTTATGATTCATGACAAATGTATCTTTTCTTTTATGTACACTGAGAGCATAGGCACCAAAAACAAATTCCTTCTGTGGCCAATCACACTTGGCCAATAAAGAATTCCATTCCATTCCATTCTATTCTATTCCATTTCTATCCTATCCTATTCCATTCTTAAATGTTAAAATCACTGGCATCAATTCAGAGAACCAAATAAGACATGAAAGTAGGCCCATTGTTAAGTTGAATCTTAATTCTGCCTGAACTGCTTTCCACAGTTTGTAAGCAACACAGGAAAAAGTCCTTTTACTCGGATACTTACTCCACATGTACTCCCCACTGATGCTACCAAGGCCACCACTAACTTGGCTGTTTGCTTTCTCCCCAGTTTTTAACTTTAACCAGAAGTCATGAAAATCTCTAGGCTTTACCATGGAAATTCATAAGGATCTATCTCAGCAGCAGATGAAAACGGATAGATTTGCAGAGAATTGATCAGAGAAGGTGAGCAACTACAAGTAATCCTTGACTTATGACCACAGTGAGGTCTGGAATGTCTGTCACTAAGTGATGAAATTGTTAAATGGGTCACATTCAATTTTGCAATCTTTTTACTGTTGATTTTGCTTGTCAGATGTCCCCTGGGACAGTCACAAATGCCAATCCCATGATCCCAAGAAGCTGCAACTTCGTAACTATATGCCAGTTGGCAAATTTTGAACATGTGACCATGGGGATGCGGTGACACTCACAAGTGCGAGGACTGTTGGTTATCAGTTTTTTCAGTGCCGCGGTTAACTTTGAAAAGTTGTTAAACAAATGGTCATAAGTCAAGGACTACCTGTAGCCAGTGTCAGCATCTTCCTCAACTCACGCCAAGAACTTTCAAATGAAAAGGTTAGTCCAGAGACAAAGATATTCAAATGTACCTGGGTTAAAAGCATGAATGCATTATCTGCTCTGAGGTTTTTCTTCAGAAACTCCACACAGTGAGCCTCAAGGGCAGGGACTGCATATTTTTTTGCAGTGTAAAGAGTCGTCATCACAGTCTCTGGCCCAATATGAACTTCATCTGAATAAAGAAATCTAAGAGGAAAAATGGAGAGAGAGGCAAAGAAAAAATATTATCCCACTCAAAACCACATTATTTACTGGAAAAAATACATCAGAAAGGTCAGATTATTAGTTGTTATGCGGAAAGTCCTTCATAATGTCTAAATAAGAGGTGAATTCCCATTGGGTACCAATTCAATAAGTGTTTTTTTTTAAATGAGGCTATTTATCTCACCTGTAAGTCCATGAGGACTAGGAACATCTTTTTTTTTAAAAATCGGAACTCTTTAGACAGAGTATGCTGCCCTGGGCAGTACACTGGCAAATGAGGTGCATATTTTTATTTATTACACTTCTGACTTTGATTTGCAAATTTTAAAACCAAGCCAGTCAGTGACTTTTGCAGTTGAGATATTCCAATCCAGCCCTCCAAACATTACTCTGGCAAATCTGAAAACCTGCATTTGTTTTTTAAAAAGTCTATATTTATGTAGTGTCTTTGGGGTTTTTAATACGTAATTCAATATCCATTACATCGTCTGCCTTTCTGACAGCACACATGAGATGATCAGATCCAGATATATCTGTAGCAGTTAATTAAATTGCAATACCAGGCTGATCATAAGGGGACAATTTTGAGATTGTGACTCACCAGCTTTCTTTCCCATATCTTTAACTAAGACCTTATAAACTGAATGGAAACAACAAGACGTCCAGCTTGACAGAGAGAAGGAGATGTTATATTGCCAAGTTTTGAAGGTAAAAAAAAAAATGTGGTATCGCGCCTGGAAGTAAAAGTAGAAATGAAGACACAGAAGGGGCAATCTTTCAATACTCTACTCCTCAAAAGCCCCAACTTCTCAGGCATGCATTTTAAAAGCATGCGAATCAGAATAACAAGAGTTGGAAGGGACCTTGGAGGTCTTCTAGTCCAACCCCTGCTCAGGCAGGAAACCCTATACTATTTCAGAGAAATGAGTGCCCAATTTCTTCTTAAACACTTCCAGTGTTGGAACATTCACAACTTTAGAGGCAAGTTGTTCCACTGATTAATTNTAAAACATGGCTCTACAGCAGCAGTTCTCAACCTGTGGGTCGCGACCCCTTTGGGGGGTCAAATAACCTTTTCACAGGGGCCGCCTAAGACCATCGGAACTCTTTAGACTCTAAAGCGTGCTGTGTCGCTCTTTCTCTTGTGCGCACACACCCGCACCCACAAATACACATGCAGGCACACACGCAGGGAAGTAGGAGAAACGCAAACATTAAAAAAAAAAAGGGGAGTCTATATGTGTGGGTGGGAGTGGGGAGAAATTGGGTTCCGGTTATTGGGTTCCAAGCCAATTGGAGCTGAGGGGCGGGGTTTTGGCATGACGGAGCGTTGGTTGGGGGTCACCACAACATGAGGGCCTGAATTAAAGGGTCGTGGCATTAGGAAGGTTGAGAACCGCTGCTCTACAGCAGCACATGGGAAGCCCTTGGGAGCACACAGCCATGGGGCTTGTTAGTCCCCTGAAAGCCCTTCCTTTAAACTAATTTTGATCTCTTGGCTCCTCTGATTTTTTTTTTTTAATTGTATATACTGTTTTATATTTTGACATTTTATTATACATCGTCCAGAGTTGGGTGATACGGAAATGTGAAAAATAAATGTATTTAATTTAGAAATGTGTACGGACACTCCTCTTAAGCAAATAATCTGGGCAATGGTTTAAAAACTGCATAAATACAATCGATACCAAACAAACACACCAGACTAGAGGGCATTTCATATTGTATATAATCTTCAGTTACAAATTTACCAGTGTTGGCCTCCACTAAGAACATCCCTCATCCCCCCAATGTCTATGGAAAAGACAATATATTGAAATATGGGGGGTGGGGGGGCTAACCAACTGTGTTAGGCTGAAGCTACATGGATAAGCAACGAAACAATTCAAACCAAAATGAAGTCTAATTGCCATGATTTAACTTCCAGACTAGGGGAAAACCTGCTTTTTTTTAAAACCGCCTTTCGAAAGCCAACAGAGTGGGGTCATCTGGATTTGGGGGAGAAGGGAAGAGGGCGGGGGGGAGGCTAAATTACATTTTTTTTAAAAAGTTCTAAGTTGAACAGCATTAGCATAAAAAAACCACACAAAGTTTTCCTATAATGCAAAAGAACAATTCATTAGAATAGTTACTTGCCTCTTGGGACCTACGTCAAATGCAAATACCAAAGGCCTAGGTCAGTGATGGCTAACCTTTTTGTCGTTACATGCCGAAAGTACATGCACTCGCGCCTGCGCGCCCACACACAGTGCAATGCGCACGTGACCCCTCATGCAACCCCCAGTGCATGCGTGCATGACCACCCCCTGTGCTCCCCCATGCATGCACCCCACCCCCTCACCCATTTTTGGCTTCAAGTTTGGTGCAGGAGGCTTTCCAGGCCCAAAATAGGGTGCAGGGGGGCTCACAAGGCCCCAAAATGCAATGCACCCCCCATGCATGGCCCCCACCTCTGTGCATGTGTGTACATGCACCCCCTGCATGCACATGCGCAGCAGAGAACCAAAGACCAGCTGGCTGGCGGGAGGCATGTGCGCATGCGCAGTGGAGCTAGGCTAGAGCGATGGCTGACATGCCCGCAGAGAGGACTCTGCTTGCCACATGTGGCACATGTGCCATAGATTTGCCATCACGGGCCTAGGTTCTTCTGAAAATAAGCAGACATTTTGCAACTCTCTATCATTGTTCTGGGTGTGCCACACTGAAGGCAGATAAATGTTGTGAATTGAGATTGCCTTTTCATTTTGATTACTTCTATCAAAGTTTGATTTGACAATTGACCAATCTGGACTGCACGTTGTGCTAAGCCATGTTTTGCAACCCAACCTTCAAATACCGTATATACTCGAGTATAGGCCGATCCGAATATAAGCTGAGGCACCTAATTTTACCACAAAAAACTGGAAAAGTTATTGACTCGAGTATAAGCCTAGGGTGGGAAATGCAGCAGCTACCGATAAATTTCAAAAATAAAAATA